GTTATCTGAACAAGTTATGGTTTTATTAATGTGTGTAGAAGTGACATGATGATTACTAATGTATTGTCCCAGAAAGTTTTGACATTTCCTTCTCAATATTTGCTTAATCACTCTTATCAAAATATATATTTTTTGCTATTCATGTCTGATCTTTGGATATGATAATTTTACAGTGGGACTGGAGAACAGTGGGAACCTGTATGCCATATGTGAAAACATATTCTGTTGCCTTACTCTCTGATTTTATTTCTGAGGGCTCTGAGACACTTGACGTAGCAAGTGAGATGGAAAAAAGCCCTCCCAGTACAAAATAATGTACTCCGAGCCCAGATTGTCTAGGACCGCTTTAACTAGGAACTTTGGAAGACATTGGTTCAAGGTTGGATCTTTCCCAAGATTTCAGGATTATATTTAATTCCTTCCAGTAATTATTTGCATCAATTATATCATATCTTTGGGGCACTTTTGGATTTTAGAAAATAATTATATCATATCTTTGGAGAACTTTTTCTGATTTTAGAAAAATATAAGAAATATGATTGAATTCTTTTTTTTTTTTAATATATTTTATTGATTTTTTACAGAGAGGAAGGGAGAGAGATAGAGAGTTAGAAACATCGATGAGAGAGAAACATCGATCAGCTGCCTCCTGCACATCTCCTACTGGGGATATGCCCGCAACCCAGGTACATGCCCTTGACCGGAATCGAACCTGGGACCTTTCAGTCCGCAGGCCGACGCTCTATCCACTGAGCCAAACCGGTTTTGGCATGATTGAATTCTTTACCAAGTCTATAAAATAAATCAGAAGTCCCACCAGAATGAATGATTCTATTTCTCAATATTCTCAGACAGCTGGGATGACTTTTTTTTTTTTTTTTTTTTTTTTTGGTAAGGCCCAGTTTATTATTTAAAAATTTTTTTTCTTTTAAAATTTTTATTAGTTTATTGGGGTGACATTGGTTAACACAATTATATATGTTTCAAGTGTACAATTTTATAATACATCATCTGTTTATTGTATTGTGTGTTCACCATCCAAAGTCAAGTCTCCTTTCATCACTATTTATTTCTCCTTTAACCTCTTCTACCTCTCCCCAAGCCCCTTTCCCTCTGGTAATGTTGTCTGTATCTATGAGTTTTTGTTTTTGTTTTTTGCTTAGTCTATTAATAAACCTAAAAAAAAAAAATCTTAGTTTTTATTACTATAAAATTATCAGTTAAGATTGATATTTTGCTTATCAGATAGCATTTTCTCCAAATTATGCTAAAGGTCAGCTTCAACACTTGGAAATATTATATATCCTTTAAATTTTTTGTTTGTTTCCTAAACACCAGCATTAGGGATGCAAAGGGAAAATTTAGTTTGAGTTTATATGTTAAAGCTAATCAGCAACATATTTTATGATAAGAAAATAGGTTAATTAATGTGGGAGAATTCAAAGATGGATAATTCATTCAACAAACATTTTAGGTAGGGCACAATAATGTTTTGCTCTCAGGAATTCTTAGTCTACTAGGGGGAGAAAAACTTGTCCCTAAGTAAAATTACCCAAAATTTGGGGAAAAAACACACACAAATTCTATAAGCATCATATGAATAAATAACTAAGAAACTACTTGGGAACAAAAAATATTTGAAGAGGAGAAACATAATGAGCTAATAATAACATCTGTTGACATTTCTTTAGGAACAAAATTTCATTAAATCAATTACAATTTTTGTTTATATTTTTAAGGAAAATGCTTTCAAAGTCTTTTCAGTAGATACTTCATAAATACTTTTAGAATTTCAAGAAAATATCATTAGTAATTGATTCTATATTTTGATAAATGTACTAATGTAAATAGTCAAGAACAGTGGTGATGGTGGGGTGGGGAGGTGGTGGAGGTAGAAGAGGGCATAGAGGGGATAAATGGTGGTGGAAAAATAAAATAAAATAATTGTAAATTAGTGTCAAAAATTTATGCTTGTGGGCAGATCAGTAGATAGACTAGTAATTATAAGCCTATGTGTATAAAATTACTTATATAATTAGAATTAATTGGAATATGCTTATAGCCTTTGAAAATTCTGTAACTTGTTAACATGAATTACATTATAAATGTGTAGGTTAAACAATTAAAATAAAGTTAAAATTATGTTAATTGTCTCCATGACAATCTTCTGTTTTATTGAAGAATCTTTAATTTGGCTTCACAAAGGGGGAAATATATGGAATCCATTTAGTATTTTTAATATGGTTTATGTTTTTGGTACTTTTAAAGTACAATGCACAAGGCATGGAGGCATGGAACGGAATGACATACCTCGATGTGGGGTTGGGGGGACAAGAAGAATTATAAACCAAATAACGTATATGTATAACCCATAGACACGGGCAACAGGGTAGTGAAGACCTAGGGGGTGGGGGGTGAGTAGGGCCTGGAAGGAGGTGGGTAAAGGGGGAGAAAATGGGAGATATCTGTACTACTGTCAACAATAAAAAATATTTAAAATACAATGCAAATCAGGACCAAACTGTCTGTTAAATGCCCCCCTTTTAGTTGATCACAGGACAATTCAATAGATTTATTGAATCAATTACAATTTTGTACTGTCCTAAACAGGTCATCTTCAGTGTACTGTTGAGAGGTTTGTATCATAGGTTGCCTGTGTGAGAGTGTATCCCTAAAGTTCCACCAACTTTATCAACACTTTTGGAGAGTGAATCTTTCAGAATTATATGGTTTCTTATGGTATTTGCTTTGCTTCGTGTTTGTTTTGTTTCTGGTTTGAGGAATCTGGTCAGCAGCATGTTTGTTAGGTCAGCTGGCCCTCAGCACTGCAGTGATACAAAGTCAGGCAAACAGATGGAGAAATTTAATTTTCAGTTAGGAAAGGGTTCCATAGCAACATCGGAGTGAAATATGTGTCTGGTTACATTTACGGGGCAACTGTTGTTGCAAACCAAACATACACATACATGTGATCTGGAGAAGGACATTTAAAATACATGTGGTTCATCTATTCCCTTAATGGATTTTTTCTCTTTTTCAATGGATACTTTAAAAAAAAAATTTATTTCAGAAATATTGAGAGAGAGTGTGTGTTTGTATGTGTGTGTGTGTATACTTAGCAAGTCAGATGGCTTTTGACAAGACTTAAACTTCATTTGGTAAATTAAAAAATGTTCCCCCCTTATTGCTATGCATAGAAATTATTCTTTCAGAAACCATGTTTAGATTATATATTCAGCAGAAGTGAGTGGGTGTGAAAGCGCGATTCCATGTGGCCGAGGCTGCTGCAGGAAGAGCTGGTGCTAAATATACCACAGTGGGATCTAGGCAGCTCATCAAAGCCTGGTGAGGAGCGTGATAAAAATAACAGCCCTGTCCAGCCCCCTCTATCTGAGAGAGAGTCAACCTCAAAGCTCAAATAATTAGTGCATTTTCATCCTCACACTATATTCAGTGATGATGAAAGGGCACAATAGTGATACTGAGGCATGATAAGATACTGGACTACTCAAAGCATGAAAAAAAAAATTGAACTCTACAATACGTTAATGCTTGGGTCTTTTCTATATAATTATTGACACTGATAGATAAGCAATGTGTGGTTTATATGGTAACTTTTAGAGATACTTTTAACTGAATTTTCTTATTTCCCAACCATTTTCATAAATGGATATTTATGAGACACCTCATATTTGTATGATCACTTTTTTTAACTCCTCAAAATATTTTTACTTAAAAAATGTGATCTTTCACACAGTTCTTTGTTAAGAATTTCCTTTAGATATATAAGAAAAGAAAGTTGATTTTAGAAACAAGATCATGCTTTGCAAAAACATTAAATATGAAAAATTCCAGCAAATTGCCAAAGCCTAGATATAGATAGGCTTTCAGTATAGATAATTATTTTACTGAGCAAACAATGGATTCATTTGAAAAACAAAACAAAATACACCTTAGTCATGCTATAGGAACCCTATAAATAGAACCTCAGTTTTTAATTTTGGAATTAATCAATCTTAAAAACCATGTTTTGTAAGATGCCACATGATAAGTCAAATAGCTTTTTAAAGTTTAAATCGGGAATAAATTCAAAATGAAAATGCCATATATATAATTTCTATCTAATACAATTATCCAATATTATGTGTAAAAAAAGATGAACCTGGAATTTTAACAGAATAGTATTTCAAGACAATTGCTTTATGGATATAGTGTTTACAGTGGTTTATTCTAGTCAAGTAAGCACCTTTTTTTACAGACATCTTCAGTGTCACAGTCTGTGTGACTTCCATGCCCATCATTGGTTGAGGCAGCCACATTCACTCCTATTCCCATTTAGTTAAAGTAGTTCTGCCATAGAATTGAGTAAATTTTATTCTAACATTTGAGATTAGGTGTATGATACTGTCACCAAAATCATTTCAACAGTTCCTTTTTTTTTAATAGAAATGTACCATTTTATTACAAAGATTCTCACACACCCACCCACACACACACCCACACACACACACTCGCCAAAAATAGCATCTCAAAAAGGAAACTACCAATTCTCACCTGCAGAATGGGGGAGCAAGAGGGGTGAGAGGTCAGAGAGTGTGGGTTTCTTAACTCACTTGGGGCCAGTGGGAAGGTATAACAGAACCAATCTAGATGTAGCTGATGTTACTACCTTAAGGTGCCTGTAAAGAACAGGGGGTTCCTGAAGACCCAGCCATTCCTAGAATGCTCAATATAGGCATCTTTCCAAAGCCACTAGGCAGGAATTTGGCATTTCGGAATTTTGTTCTATGGATGTTTAAGAGAATAGAATCCCTTGCACCCAGAACTGGCACCCTTTATGGTTCAAAATTAAGAACTGGGGAAGGAGGGCAGGGCAGCTATTATAAGAGCGTGCCTAGCACGTGTGCCCTGGGCTCATGGCCTGGTTCCTGTCTAGGCCCTGGGGATATTTATATTTAATATATTTTTATATAAATACACAGAAATATACAATATAAAACCTGAGGGGTTAGAGGAGGAAGGTGGGGCACTTTGCAAGAAGCCAGAACTGGAGAGGACTGCTCAGGCCAATTTGACCTCCTCTTTAACCCCTTTGGCTTCTTGCTTGTCCTCCTTGGTTTTCTCCTCTTCTGTGACTTCTTTCTTCTCTTCTGGGTCTTTCTCTTTTTCATCCTCAGTTTTGACTCTCTTGGCTTTTTTGAAGTTGGAAGAGTTCTTGAGACCACCTTCTCCCTTCTCATCAGAGTCGGAGAACTCTTCCTCACAGGCAATTTGTTTGTCAGAGGGACAGATCGAAATGCGCTTGTCAGGGTCTTCCTCATCCTCATCACCACTCTCCTCTGGAAAGGCGTCCTCAGGAATCGCCTGCGTTTGGACCCCAGGGGCATGGGGCAGCATTCTCAGGTTCTCAGGCAGCCGCTGTTTGATCTTCTCCAGGTACTCATTTGTGTTCTGCTTAGTCATATTGGAAGGACTGATGTGAAGTTTGAAATCTGGCCCAAAGTATTCAAAGTAGTCGTTGTATGGAAGCTCATTAGGAATCTCTGTGTCCAGGGCGACAGCTGTTTCATATGCCCAGCATCGGGCAACATAACGAATGGTGTAGCCACCTCCTCCCAGCATGAGCTTAGGCAGGTCAAAGCTCTTCACAAACTCCACACACTTGGCGTGCCTTTGATGGCCACATTGAAGCAACCTAACCGAGCCCCAGACAGGGAGTCAGAGCCACCCTGTAAGACGACTGCACTGGGTTGAAACATCTCCATCACTTTGGATATGACCGGCTTGAAAATGGCCTCATAGGACTCGTCATCAATCCCATCTCGAAGCGGGTAGTTAACAGCATAATACTTGCCTTTGCCAGCCCCAATATCCCGTAGATCTGCAGTTCCTGGGAAGTACTCTCCATATTTATGAAAAGACACAGTCATGGCCCGGTCTGTGGTATAGAAGGCCTCTTCCACGCCATCGCCATGGTGAATATCAATGTCAATATACAGCACCCTCTGGTGATACTTTAGCAATTCCAGGATGGCCAAGACGATATCGTTGACGTAACAGAAGCCAGATGCCTCAGACTTCTTTGCATGGTGCAGGCCCCCAGCCCAATTCACAGCGATGTCCGTCTGCTGCTTATTAACTTTCACAGCACTTGCCACAGAGCCACCAGTAGATAGCTGACAGAACTCAAACAGGCCATCAAATACCGGACAGTCTTCACCAACGTTGAATCTCTGCATATGCTTGCTGTATTCAGACATGTTATCTGGGCGGATGGAGCACAAGAATTTTATGCAATCATCGCTGTGATACTTGGTCATCTCCTCAGCATTGGATTTGTGAGGACGATAGATTTCCATGTTTCGGTAGAGACCATAGTTAAGTAGCAAATTGTGAGTCATGCGGATTCGGTGAGGTTTCATTGGGTGGCCTTGTCCATAATAGTAACTTCCAACCTCCCCGTCGTCGTCGTAGTAACAGACTTTCCTCCGGGTGCCCTGAGTCTGCGCCATCTTGCTCGCCTGCTGTCGCTCCGGCCCGTCCGTCGGTCTCAACAGTTCCTTCTTATTTATCTTTGGATACAGTTGTTCCCAGTATAAAAATGCTACGGAAGAGAACGCATTTTGACCTCGAATAGTGAAATCTTTAGCCTCTTGACGAAGGTTTACTTAGTGATCTCCCAGGCTTCATGCTAAGACAACAAAGGATCTTTATGGTTTAGTTTGGTGTGATCCAATGAATGGAGTCAGATAGGTCTTGGTTTGAATTCCAGCTCTGTAACTGTTTAGTTAAATCCAGCTATTTAGTTTTAGGAAACTAAAATTTGGAGAATAATAAGTAACTTTAATAAGTAACTTGACCGAAGAGGTAGAGCTAAGATTTAAATTCAGATTATCTGAGTGTGGCACTGGCAAAACTTGGTTTAGAAAGCATATGTATTCATATATAACTTTTAAAAATAAGCAGATATTCAGAATATGTGATTTTGCAACACATTTACATTAGTGACTTAAAGGCAGGGTTATAAAACTTATATGTAAATTGTCTAAAATATAACTCTGTCTATTCTTTTAGTAACCAGGAAATTAGACAAAATCCTGAATCTGATATGTATATGCTTAAAATCTTTGTACATTATTTAAACATCCAAAAATGAAAAGCACAATTTTATCCCCTCCCCCCAAAAGACACCCCACAAATAACCAAAGAAAGTATGTTGTCACGAAAGAAAATTAAATCATCTTTGAATTGGGAAAATGAGATATTTAAATTTGAAACGATTATAATTTTTGGAGCACTCTTTTATCCACAGCTTCAGTATTCAGGCCTTTCGTTTCTATAACTGAGAAGATGCTATTTGTATGATTTAGCTGTTTGATTTTTCATTCTGAATATGTATTTGTCTGAGTACAAAAAAAGAAGAATAAATTAATAATTCATAAGCTAAAAAGCATTTTTATATTATCCAATTTGATCCTAAAGACAACTCTATGAGATAAGTAGGACAGTGGTGAGAAATCTAACATTTGAGAGGTTGAGGTACCGGGAAATGTAATGGTCTAGAGCTGGCCGTTGAATGAGTCAACCTAATTTTAAATCTAACGTTTGCCACAGTTCTTTAAAATGCAAATAATCTTTAAAACTTTAAAATGTAGCTAATAATACCTGCTTCTTGACTTGATTATGAGGATTACATAAAATAATATATGTCAGATGGTAAGTTTTCAGGCAGTCACAAGGGCAGTATGTGTAGGGTCTCTTCACAGATTCCAGGGGTGGGGAACCTCTTTTCTGTTAAGGGCCATTTGGATATTTATAACATCATTCAAGGGCCATACAAAATTATGAACTTAAAAATTAGCCTGCTATATTTGGTCAAACAGTTAATTCACTCACTCCTAATGCTTGGCAAGGCCAGACCAAATGACTTCATGGGCTTTATATGGCCCATGGGCCAGACGTTCCCCACCCCAGGATTACACCCTCCAGCACCATAAGCACCGAGGTACATAGTTACTGCTTTTAGCTCAGGGCGACCGAGGGACTGGCTTCTTTCACTTAGCATAATGTTTTCAAGGCTCATTCATGTTGTAACATGTATTAACTACATGACTAAATAATATGCCATTGTGTGGGTCACCACACAACGTTTATTCATTCATTGGTTGATGGATATTTGGGTTGGTTTCACATTTTAGCTATGATTTGAATAATGTTCCTCTGAACATTTGTGGGCAGGTTTTTGTGTGGATATGTATTTTTAATTCTCTTGGTCTTTACCTAGGAGGGGAATTTCTGGATTACATGGTTATTCTATGTTTAACATTTTGAAGAACAACCAAACTCTGTATCAAAGTGGCCTCATTATTTTACAGTTCAACCAGCAATGTATGATGATTCTAATGTCCACTTTCCTCATCAACACTTGTTATTGCCTGTCTTTTATTACAGCCATCCTAAGTAGATGTGAAGTGCTATCTCACTGCGATTTTGATTTGCGTTTCCCTAATGACTAATGATGTTGAGCATCTTTTCATGTGCTCATTGCCATTTGTGTAAAGTTTTTGGAAAAATGTCTATTCAAATCCTTTGCCCACTTAAAAAGTTTTTATTCATTTAAACAGTGTTAGATTTACAGAAAAATGGCTCGGATTTTGCAGAGAATTCCCTTAAACACCACAACCAGTTTCCCTATTATTAACATCTCACATAAGTATGGTACTCAAGTTACAATTAATGAGCCAATATTGATGCACTATTATTAACTTTATACTTATTTAGATTTTTGGGGGATTTTTACCTGATGTTGCCTTTCTGTCCAGGATCTCATCTCGGATATCACACCACATGTAGTCGTCATATCTCTTTAGGCTCCTCTGTACTGTGACAGTTTCTTAAACTTTTCTTGTTTTTAATGATTTTAACAGTTTTGAGGAGTACTGGTCAGAAATTTTATTAAATGCCATTCTTCTGGAATATTTTGGATGTTTTTCCCATGATCAGACTGGAGTTACGGTTTTTTGGGTGGAAGATCACAGTGCATTAATTAGTATGATTTTCATAATATATCAAGGGTACATACTATCAACGTGTCTAATATGTTGATGTTGACCTTGGACACCTGATGTGGTAGTGTTTGCCAGGTTTCTCCATTATAAAGTCACTCTTTCCGCACCCTTTCCATAGTCTAATAGCCACTATGAGAAAACTCATCTTTAAGAAGTAGGGAGATAGGCTCCATCTCCTCGAGAGTGGAGCACCTTCATAAATTAATTGGAATCCGTCTGCAAAGAGATTTGTCTCTTTCTATTCATTTAAAAATTTTTTCAATTATTTATTTATATTGGTATGTGATATTTATTTTACACTTTGGGCTATAATCTAATAATACTTTATCTTATTCCAGTTTGGGCTATTGGGAGCTCTTACATTTGGTTCCTGTGTCCCTTTGAGATGGGTCTATCATGGTGGCTTTTTATTTATTTATTTATTTATTTTTTTATTTTATTGATTTTTTACAGAGAGGAAGGGAGAGAGATAGTCAGAAACATCGATGAGAGAGAAACATCGATCAGCTGCCTCCTGCACATCCCCCACTGGGGAAGTGCCCACAACCCAAGCACATGCCCTTGACCGGAATCGAACCCGGGGACCCTTCAGTCCACAGGCCGACGCTCCATCCACTGAGCCAAACCGGTTTCGGCCATGGTGGCTTTTTATAACCACTTCCTTCCTTTCTGGCACCACTGGTCCTCCAGGCTCATCTTATATATTTCCTTCCCCAGTCCTAGCATCAGCCATTTTCCAAGGAGTACTGGTCCCTTTTATTAGAAAATGACATTAGAAACCAAGCTGTGGTCACGAGGTGTGCTCATTGCTAGTAGGGTGTCCTTGCTTCTAGGCCTGACAGAGCAAGGAAGTATATAGCACATATAATAACCTGTGTTATACACATACACATATTCCTGTACATAGAGGGATATGTAACCATCTGTATCTATATTAAGCTAAACATGAGTTCATACTAATGTCTCCCACTCAAATCCATTACCACAGATCACTCTAGTCTCCTTCTCCTTGCTTATCTGTAAACTTACACCTATGGCTTCTATCATCAACTATCCATTTACTTAATTGTCTAAGTCATATATATATATCAGATATAACTTTCTCAGTAGTATAGTACTAATGTACAGTTTCTTTTGCCTTTAGTTTGATAGGCGCCACTTGTTTCCAGAGTCAGTTTAGCTTAGCACCCTTTTTCTGCTCCCACGTCAGTGCGGTTGTTTTACACATTTGTAATGCCGTTGTATTGTTTTGTCATATTCTGCATTTCATTCTAGAATTCACCTGACTTCCTAAATGATTTTTTAAAATTTGCATATGTTAAGATTCAGTCTTTATAAAATAAAGTTTAGTGGGTTTTGACAAATGAATAATGTCATGTATGCTAACTACAATTACAGTATCATAGAAAATAGCTTTACTAACCTAAAAAGGTTCTTGTGTTTTACTTATTCAACCCTTTTGCTTCTTCTCAAACTCTTGGCATCTATTGATCTTTTTGGCCCTCTAGTTTTGCCTTTAGAGAATGTCATACAATTGCAATGTAGGTAGCCTCTTCACACTGGCTTCTTTCACTTAGCAATATGCATTTTAAATTCATCCCTTTTCATAGCTTAATAGTTTATTTCTTTTTATCACTAAATACTATTCTATTGTATAGGATTTGCTTATCTAGTGATATTGAAGGATACCTTGATTGCTTCCAGTTTTTGATGATTATGAATACATCTGCTATAAACATCTGTATGCAGGTTTTTATGTTGGCGTAAGTATTCAGCTCAATTGCATAATACCTAGCAGCATGATTGCTGAATCACATGGTAAGACTATGTTTAGCTTTGTAAAAACCTGCCAAACTGTCATTTTGCATTCTCATTAGCAACGAGTGAGAGTCTTTGTTGTTCTGCATCTTCACCAGCATTTGGTACTCTCAACGTTTTGGATTTCAGTTATGCTAATAGGTATATATAGTATCTTATTATAGTTATAATTTGCAATTCTCCAGCAACAAATAATGTTGAACATTTTTTATGTCTACTTTATATCTGTATGTTTTCTTTGGTGAGTGACTGGTCAGATCTTTTGCTCATTTTAAAATTGGGTTATTTGTCTTATTGTTGTTAAGTTGTAACAGGTATTTATATATTCTGGATGTAAGGCCCTTGTCAGATATATGATTTACAAATATTTTTTCTATTGTGTGAGTCTTTCACTTTTTGATTTTGTCCTTTGAAACACAAACATTTTTACTATTGATGAACTCCAATTGTTTTACTTTTGTCACTTGTAATTTTGGGATCATATCTAAGAAAGTACTTTCTAATCTATATTTTATCCTAATAGTCTTATAGTTTGAGCTCTTAGGTGTGTTATCCATTTTGAATTAATTTTTGTATATGGCTTGAAGTAGGAGTCCAACTTCATTCTTTTGCAATGCATGTGTTCGCTTACCCCCGCACCATTTGTTAAAA